ACCATTCTGCTCTTGGTGTCATTGACGGTTGTATAAAAATGTTAAGAGACTTAAACCAACCACAAGGTGGTGAAGCAAATGAAATGTCATATGACGACAAATATAGACACTTCTCCATGGCAAAGATGAGACAAGTTTTAAATATTTACAATAGCCGTAAACAAAAAGGTTTGGGAAACCACTCCCCCGAAGAAATGAAAAACAACCCTGACTTAGAGAAAGACTATATATTTAATAATTTAGTCAAAAGAGACAAACAAGAAAGAATGCCGGGCTTCAAACTTCAGAAAGTGACAAAGTAAAAATAGAAATACCTAAACGCGACCCATATGAAAATACTATTGACTATGACAACAATGGGAACCCGACAGGTACTCACATTCGTGTTCGTAAAAATAGAAGAAAGTATACAAGAGAATATTATGAAGTTTTAGGCAAACATGGCAAAATGTACCACTGCAAGCAGAAGATAAAACTACTATTGTCAGACCTCGTTTCAAACTTGTCAAAGTTCAAGGTGGTATTACTTTCAAAGACAGTTCCTAACAAATATAAGACAACTCCTGACGAATATGCTAAAGAAGTTGAAAATGACGACTAAGCATTTCTATACCATGCGTAAACTGTCATGTAAGGTGGCATGTATTCTTTACTTTGTCCGTTGTTTGCGTATATCCTGAAACGCGATGTGTATGGTTTCCTCTCCCTCAGTGTTACTCCAGTAACAATTTATAGCAAACTGAACGTTGTCTTTAACATCATATCCTTTACCTTTTGTCATTGCTGACCAATCCCAATATCTATGCTTATGCCAACCTGCTTGAGATGTACTTAAATCTATGTAGTGACTGTGTGCAGGTAAATTTTCACCTGAAATCGTTTTACTTCCACCTGTTTCCTTTGAAGAGTTTGCACAATACAAAACCTGTCGACTATTTGAGTCCAAGTTCCAAAACCCAGAACTGTTTCTGGTCTGGTAGAGTTCATTGACGTATAAATAGAGCCTATAGGATATAATGTTTGAAGTATTTCTGTCTTTAATGTTTGAAGCTCTGTTTTGTCTGCTTTCTTGTCTAACATTGCGGGTAGTTCATATGCTTCAAAGTTTCTGGCATGACTTTAATTGTTCCTGCAACTTATCTAAATTGTTAAGAGTATCTTTTACGCTTGTACTGGATTCTCTAAAGGTGCACTTGAACCAAGGTCAAAGTTCAGTATTATGTCGTCTGCTCTAACAGTTGTAAAACTTGTATGTGTATGAGTCTTATTTTGCTTTCTTCTCTAACTCATCGTTAACAAAAAGTTTTATCTGCTTTAAGGTCTAAACATCCTGAAACCCATCCTGTATTGCTTTAGTTTTTAAAATCTCGATGTCATTCATGATACCATTCAGCCCTTTCTATAATTTCATTATCTTTTTCATCCACATATTCCTTATCTGCTTTCTTCTCTAACTTACTAGCCACATATTCCTTATCCGCTTTCTTTTCAAGGCTAACGTTTAAGTCTGTTATTTCAGATATAGAATGTGTATGAGTCTTTTTAGAATATTCGTTTTCAGCTCTCGTCACTTCACTTGACATTTTATTGTCAACATATGTTTTGTCTGCTAGTTCAGGATGAGTATGTTCTTTTGTTGCATAAGCATTGTTAGCTCTTTCTTCTTCTTTTGCTATTGCATCGTCTACATATTCTTTTGTCAGCTTTGTTGTCAACATCTGCTTTCAAAAGAAGTATTTATAGGTTTCTCGTTTAAAGTTCCTTTTGTTGGATTTATACAGACAGTATGGTTCTTATTGTCTTGAAACAGAAACTCATCTGTCATTGGGTTTATTGTCAGTTTTAAGTTTCCTTCTTTCAATGACTCAGATATCTTAGAATAGTTTGAAAAGTTTGTTGTGTTCTTATTTAGAGCTTGCACAATGAGTTGTCGGTTGTGTTGTATTTCTCTCATAGACGCTGTTTCATTTGACATTTTTATTCTAGATAAAATATGCTTCCAATAGAAAAAGAAAATTCAAGAGTTGCTACAACTAAACCATTAGATGAACTTTTTACTAATGTCGGTCAAAAGTTTGAGACAGAGACCGTAAAGCATGAAGGCTATCGTTTTGACTACCCATTAAGATGGCTAAGAGACCCATCTGTCACAAAAGCTATTGGCTTTCGTAGAATGAAGTTCATTTCAGAAGCCATACATGGTTTCCCATTTACGGTCGGTTTTGAAGTTCGATACTATAACAAAGAAAAACGTATGTATGAGAAATTTGAACAGGGAAAACTTTTACAAGTTAGTTTGCTTGTAAACTTAGAAACAACTCTTCAAGCTTTTCAAGAAAAAATAAACGATATCTATATCGAATATGCAAAACAGTATAACATTGACGAAGGAGAATACCATCTCGATATTATTTATGACAGGAAAAATGCAACTGTTAAAATCAATAGAATAGAAGACCTTGGAGAAAACGTTTATATTTCTACAAAATATAACAACTTGGCATGGTATAGATTTATGAGGATGTTAAATCAGCCTGCAGCATATCCAGTACACCCAGACTTTTATGAAGTCGAAAACCCTAATGGAACATATGAAAATGTTTTCGACCAAGATGCTATTATTGTTCATGCTTCATTTTCTGGCGCCCAAAACTCTTTCTTATGCTTGGCAAATGACTTTTACGAAAAACCTACAAAGTTATACGAACCACCAAGTGGAAGTATTTCAGACTTTCAAGTATGGTTTACTACAGATGGAAGAAAAAGAATAATTCCATTATACCATGCGTTTTACTTAGAACTTAGTTTCATATACAACTACTATCGAACGGTAAAAATATAATTTTTTAATACGGTTGAGGTGTTGGATTTGGTTGCCAACTAGACTGTGGTGCAGGTTCAGGCTGTTGTATAACAGGAGCTTGCTCTTCTGGTTCAGGGTCTTTAGGTATAATACCAACAAACTGACCTACCCTTTTACCAATATTTTTGACACCGTTCCAAATTCCTCTTCCTACGGTTTTTATTCCATTCCATATACCTCTTCCAACATTTCGAAAGAAGTTTCCTATCTTACTGAAGAAACCCATTTTACTATATGTAAAAATCTAATGTCCGCCTAGTCTCTTACGTTTCCTGTTGAGTTCCATAGCATTCTTTAACTGGAGCTCATACATTCTGTTTCTCCTCTGGTAGAAAACATATTCTGGGTCAACTCCTGTGTTCGCGTCAGCTGCATAAAGTTGTTTATATCCACTTCAGGGTTTGTATAAAACTCTTTCCATCTCATATTTGCATACCATGGTGGCAAACCTAACGCAGCGTCATTTGACATGGCAGTTTGCATTTGTACATCTGTTGGCACTTGACCATAGTTTGCCATTGCAGTTTGTATTCTAACTTCATTTGGAATATTCTCTGGGTTTGGTTGTCCAGGTTGCTGTGCATTCGCTAAGTTCTGTGCGTCCATTTAATATTAGATAAAAATATCTCTTACGAGTACATATACTGAACATTTGCAGGCATTGGTTCATCTTCATATTCTCTGTACTTTTCTGCCACGTCAAAGAAATAAATGACACAATGGAAAAAACCTAAAACAAGTAGTCCGATTTCAAACCACATTTACTTACTAATAAAATTTCTTTGTTATGACACTTTCTCCGGTTTATAGGACCTCTCTCATATTCTATCTTGTCATATCTAAACTCATAGTCATGTATGTCCTCTAACCATCTCATAACGGTTTCCAAACCACTTTTATCGGATGTAAAGTAAAAGCATGGATGGTTATGTAAAACGTCTAAAGTTTCTAAAGAGTCTCTCAAAGTCCAGTCTACTTGGTATTGAAAATCCCATGTGTTATAGAACGGTGGGTCCACTATAAAGAAAACATTTTCCTTGTCTTTATACTTTTCATACAACTCTGTCCAATGACATCTCACAAACTCTATACCCTCAATATATTTTTCTATGTCCTCTTTGAAAACATTTGTATAGTTAAGATATAAAACTTTTGACATAAGTGTTTCAATGTCATGAACTCTTATAGCACCACTATATAATAGTCTAGCAGATATACTATCCCAGTCTATATATTCTGCTTTTTTCAAAACCTCTCTCACAATATTTTTGTTATCTAATGGTATACGTTCCATCTTACCTATAGGTATCTTTTCTTTTAACTCTTTCAATATATTGTTTGTGTCTGGAATATGTTTGAGACGGTCCATATAGTTGTCGAAGTCATTGCATATAATCTTTGAGTCTGGGAATATTGTATGGCACAAATGGGATATATAGAAACTTCCACCGAACAAATCTACAAATGTTAGACCATTCGGTAGTTTCTTAAGTTCTCTCAATATAATATCTTTACATTTACTCTTATTTCCAAAGAACGGTAACGGAGGTTTTGTAAAATTCATTTATATATAATAATAAAAATGTTTTTACCCGAAAAAGTGACAGAAAAGTGACAAAGCATGAAAACATATATAATTTGTGAAAAGTGAAACATTATATAATGTTTTCGACCCAGAAGAAGGCTTCTTCCCAGAAGCAATGGAGGAAGAAGAAGAGTCCTCCGAATTCACACCAGAAGACTAACAATTTTCCGAATAAAAACTTCATTTATACTAAACATCTTCGGGGCTAGAGGGCACGAAGTGCCTGGAAGCCCCACTACCTTTTTTTTTAAAATGCCTATTTGAATCAAAAATATCATGCTTATGAGAATAATTTGAATGAGATGATTGGAAACATTATATAAATTTCATGCATGACTTTACGCATCTTGTGTATTACTAATAGTGGAAACAATAGCATCATATAATCATGCTCTGAGCATATCAAATTAGTGAATTGAGTAAAATTTGTTTTTTTAGATATGGACATAGCTTGAGTAAATGTAAAAATAGATAGAATGGTTTTAAAAAGATACAAAATTACATGAAAATTATCATTTAAATACAAACAAAAAAAATTTGATTAAATAAGTTTCATTCTTCGAAAAATTTGAGGATCATTTCTGCCATAGATTCTACCTCAGGTATATCAAGGCATTCATTCAAAGATTCAACGCCATCATCTTCAATAATTTTATTTTTCACTTCTTCCAGCAAATTTTGGTCACTACAAGCACTCAACGATGTGTAAATTATGTTTAGAGCCAATTTTGTACTTTCCAAAGTTCCATCTGGCACAAATTGGAATAATTGTGGTAATAATAAAATAATTTTTGTTGGATCAACGTCAACAGCTATTTCTTCGAGTATTTTCAAGGCACCAACTCTTACAAATATTGGATCTTCATTCAAAATGTCCGAAATAGCTTCAAGGAAACTTTCATCGATCAAAGTGGCGGAAGTATTCTTATTTAAGCGGATTGCATTCGTTATAAAGAAAACAGCAGCATTTGAGACTTGTTTTTCTTCGGATCTGAGTAGATTTATGAGATGTAAAGTTGGTAATTGAAATGCGCCTTCTGTTTGGACTGTAATATAGTTTAATGCCTGTAGAAAATTAACTGTAGCATCAGGATTCAAGATCGAGAAGATATGAGAGATAAAATCCTGAGAAAATCGAGGATGGTTGTAAATTTCGGGTCCATGGCCATTTTTACATATGTAATATATAGCGTAAGTTATTGAAAATAATATTTTCGGGGTTAATGTGTCTGTACTTTCTAAATTTTCCATCAAAAAATCCAAAATTATTGGATAGGAAGGAGTATCAATAGTACAGCAGCAGCATATTAGCCACATAACAGATTCCGAATAATGCTTTTGGTCTGGTCTATAACTTTCCAGGATGGCCTGAACTCCACATGTTTCAAACAGATACTCACGAGCCTCTTTTACGTATGTGGCTATCTTCCCGTAAAGCTTAAAGGCATATAGATGATTGTGGTTGCATGCTACGTAAAGTTCATGAAAAAAACATGAATTCAAGAAAATTGTTAATTTTGTAAGAGGAAGATAGAAGAAGCACATGCACACTATTTCAGATGCAATGTCTTTAATAGGAATCGTCATCCATGTAAGTATGATGTCCTTTAATATTTGTAAAATTGATAATTCATCAAATAAAGGACAATTTAAGATGCGGCCTTTTTGCACTGCACATTTAAGTTGTGAAATTCTTGATATAAGATCCGGGCAGCAGTTGTCGATCGCATAAACGAAGTTTTGAATTAATTCTTCATCGGATAGGGCCATATACTCTTCGCATTCTGGATTTTCGGTGATTAGGAGAGATGAATGCTTTTCTAGGAGTGAATCTTTATATTCTGAGTCCATTTATACAGAAACTTTTTTCTGAAGGGATTTTCAAACGTGACAAAATTGAATATGAGATTTTGAATTTATTACGCTCCTCAATTTTTTCGACAATTTCCATGAAAACGAAACAATTACTTGCATAGAATTGTTTTATCCTTTTATTGTTGCAGAAATTCTACAGTATAAATATTTTCACATAGAATTGAATTAGGAAGATATAACCATGCAATCTATAATACACTAGTAGTTCCTATGTTGAAAATCTCACAAAATTAAACTTTTATGAATATTCAAATACAGTTCTATTCGATAATTGATTGTTATTTGATCAAAGTTTATGTTATTATTTTGCTTGATTTTTTAATAAAATTTATGCATGATTGCACTCCAAATAAACTAATTTTAAATAATTTTATTGAACTTCTCCGGCAAAATATAAACTTAACTAATTTATTATGTCTAATTTTCCATCAATGTTCAATTTAAAAAGGATTTATTATGATAAATTTCGTATATAAAAATTAAAAATAAAAAAAATATAAAATTTATTAAAATACTTTTAAAAAATGATTGGGCTAAATGGAATTAGTTCTTCCACACTTGTTTTCTTTACGTAAGAATTTGGTGCAGATTGGGATTTTGGTAAAAAACTAGCAGCACCGTCTTCGAAATCGTCGCAATCAGCATACTTTCCATGCCCCTTATGACTTCTTTTCTCGCTTCTGCCGTAGTAGCCTCCTCCTAATCCTAATCCTCCCATGATACCTCTAGACATTGGAGCGTAAGCATCATGCATAGATGAATGATTTCCTAAATCCATTCTGTCCATATGACTCATTCCATGCATGCTACTTTGGGGAAAAACAAAAGCACCAAGATCTTCAGGTTCAAGGGAACTATACATCATATAAGACCTTTGCATCCTTCCTTTCATTTCATGTCTTGATTTTTTGCCTTCCATACCAAAATCATCGTCACTATCACTCATTGAAAATTATGACAGAGTGGCAAAATTTTCTTTCTTTTTTCCATCACTTCCTTTTCATACAATAAACACCAATATCTGAAAAATCAAAATTCCCTTATTTTGTTATGTTAAATGATTAAAAATTAAAGAGAATTAAACTCATTTTCAAAAGGTAACTAAACTCCTTTCGTCGATCCGATTTGCTCCATATTTAAAATATAGCTTGCATATGTAGAAGAAAAGCTAATTTTGAAGTACGCCCGAAATCCACCAACAGGATTTCGAGCTACTAAAAAGGTACTTTTAAATGTGATTTTTTTTATAAAAAATTAAATTTATTTTAAGATCAGACTAAAAACTAATTTTATGGAAAATCTATATCGACAAATTTATTACTTATTAGGTATATAGATTTTTTGATTATGGCGATTATGTCTGATATGCTTCCAATAAGCCAAAACACATTTCATACTGATTTCTATAAAAGGTATCTTTATTATAGAAGTGTAAGCTATATCTGTTTGTTTTTTTATTATAACAAATTCAAAATTCTCTTATAAGGACTAGATGAAATCTGTATTATTAAATCATTAGCTAAATGAAGGTTCAAATAGAAAGTAAATATCAATTTATATGATACTGAAACCAAATAGTTCTTTTAATAAAAGATAACACGCTGAAAATTATTGAGTATTTGCAAATCTCAAAAATCTATTGGTGAATTTGGCTCAACTTTTAAAATTATAACATCCATATCAAATCATAAAAGCAGACAAAAATTAAAGCCAAACCTATCGGCCAATTTTTTTTTGATATTTTGATTTTTGAGGTATACTTTTAAAAGTGGATTTAAAGCACTTATGAAAAAACATTAACTTCTGTCGTTATGATTATTGATTTAGACAATAATGATTTTAATCTTTGATTATCAAAACACTAAAGTCATCTTTTTAACATTTGCTTGGTAGCATTAACTTAAGTCTAAAGTACTATTTTATGTGGCACTCTTAGAATTTTTGTATTCATTGTACACGCTGAAATAGTACCATTAAAGTTATGGCGGACTTTCAAAAAATAGTTTGATCACCTTTCATTTTCAATGTTTATGTCTTTATAACTTAGATTCTCGCAGATAATTGAGAGAAACTCACTGAAAGAAACTGGATTGTAGGGAGATTTTGTCAAAATGGGCTTAAATACAAATTCAATAGCAATTACAGAAACAATAACACAGTATTTACTGTTTCAGTTCTTAATCGATCTTTTTTATCAGATGAAATCAAAGATGTAGCAAAAAAAGATTTTTTTTTGATTTAAATACTTTACTGATTTTTTTAAATAAATATCTATTCAGTTTCTTGTTTCTTAAAGAATTTGTACTGATAATCATCAGGTCCTGCCGAGATATTTCTAGCCAATTCGTCCAATCCCGGCCATTCTTCAATTCTAGTCTGAGCGATGTGTAATTTCGGAGCGTGAGTCAATGGGTTGTTGCAGAGATCGATTGTCTTAGCCTTGGCCATTGTTTCGTCCGAACACCATGTTTCGCACCAAAGCCACTCTTGTGGCAATGAGAAAATAGGTATCTGGTGCTGGGCGTAGTTTGGCAAGTCTTGGTCGAGGTTTGCAAGTGAGCCAGGATCACTTGAAAGATGGTGATAATGGTATCTCAACAAATCTCCTGCGGCCATCTGCCTGAATTTAAGGAGATCGATTGCGAATAATGCGGAAATGTGGTATGGCTTGCCCTGGAGGTGGTTAAGCCAGTATCCTTGCTTCCAGAATCTAAATGGCTCGGTTTCGTTCCTGGAATTGCACATTGGAGTGAATGCGTATGGAGCACCTTGGAAGTCCATCCTCATAAGCTCGTTTAAGTCAGCTCTGACTGTTTGGTCGGCATCAATATAAATAACTCTTTCTAAATCAAGCGGGAAGATGGTATCCAAGAACAAAATCTTGTTGCCCCAGATAATCCTCTGCTTTTCGACTTGTCCTCTGAGCCAGGTTGGCCATTTATACGATACTAATTGGTAAGAGAAATTATATTTCTCGGCCATGATCGGCAAAGTAGCCTTGAATGTTGGGGAAAGGAAGTTCTTGACAATCCAGAATTTTACGTTATGGGTTGACCGCTTTCTGACAGATAACATCATAATCTTCATTAATCTTTCGTACAAGTGACCACTAGCTACTGAGAATACATCAACTCTATCAGTTGTTGCGAAATCACCACTTGCCGTGACGTTATTTGCCTTCATTCCCTCTTTGCCAGGTCTATAATTCAAAAGAATCTTAGCAACTGGGTTAACGAAGCTGCCAATGATTACTGTTGTCTTTGGCAACTCAAAGATTGAAGCCGATCTAGCTCCGCCGATTTCAATATTGAATTTTCCAGGATTAGCTTGTAACTGGAAATATCCGTTCATCATGGATGTTGTATCGCTTAGTCTTTCACCCATTTCATTTTCTATGGCTAATTCAGTACCTTCGGCCGTTTGATAATCCGAAGTTTGGCAATTTCCTTCCAAAAGGATATTTGTGAGTACATAAACTCCTTCCTGTGAATGTGTCTTCAATTGGGATAACAAAATGTTATCCAAATCGGTGGAAGCGCGCATTGATTCGTAAACCCAAGACATTGGCATATCTGGCATAGCAGAATAGGTTGTTGTGTCATTGAGCATCGTGAATACTGCGATATCTTCATCAAGAGCGCTTCTGTAGTACGTTGTAAGTGTTGTTAAAGAATCATTCAAAGCAAATGGAAGAACTAAGCAAAGACGGATCTGCGCGAGGTTGTTCTTCTCAACCCAGTTGATAATGGAAGCGATTCGTTGGAATTCTCTCGTCAAAGGATCAACAACTAATTCCCATACGATATCTGAAGTGGAATTCTGGGTTGCGTAGATCATAGGGTTCTTGACTTGGAAGAAATCATCTGAATCATGCCTTCTAACAACACTTTGTGCCATCCAATCAATGATTAATGAAGATGAATAGGCTAAACATTCAACTCTTCTACGTTTGACGGACTGATCTAATGCGAAAAGACCATCTAAGATGAAATAGGTGTTCCAATCATCGGCTAATTGGTAAAATTCGAAATCATTCGGATCAATATCTTCGTAAACTCTTCCGTTGACGACAAGAGAGCATGTGGAGTTACTTGATGGGAATATTGATCTCAAATTCTTTGGAATTTCTGGATTAACCTTGAACTGGGCGGAATTAAATCTCTTTCTCTTTGCAAAATCGAAGAAAGTAGTTGTATCTACGGAGTCATTGCAGAAGAGGAAGAAATAGTTGGTAAGTCTGCCTTCGTTGGAGTAATCCCATTTAGTTTTTGAAATTAAATCGATGTATTCAAGTTGTCTGTCGTAAGTGAGGGTGGAAATCTTGAGAGACTTTGGTGTTGAATACAATACTTCCTCGTTTAATGACTTCGCGACGAAATATCTTCTTGATATGATATCAAAAACGTCGAAATCATCATCTTTTGTGATTCGGAATCTTCTAATGAGTCCAGCGAGTTCGGTAATTGCGGTCTGAGCGTGATAATAAATGACGTTCATGCCATTACTGGTTTCAACTTTCTTTCCATTCATATAAGAGCATGGGATAGCGATTTGTGCATTCTTTATGTAGGATATAGTATCAAGGATGGCGTCAAGTTCCGGAGATCCTGCGAACAATTTATATAATTCATCCCATTTCAAACATTTAGAGTTTGCATGGAGTTGGTAAGCAGCCTTGTATGTTGCTGGCGATGTTGGATAGAGAGTTCTTGAGTCCATGTCAACGCCAAGAACATAATGAGCATCAAGTAAGAATTGAATGGCTTCTGAGCTATTTACGTTTCTGGCAATATGGTGGAAGGCAAAGGCAATACGCTTTGAAAGCTTAGATCCCAAATTGAAGTAAGGAACAAGGCCTAAATTGACTGTATATCCTTCTTCAATAAGATTTGTAGCGTAGTATAATTCGGTGAAGCCATTGTTGGTTGTAGGATCGATGTAGAGGACATATTGTGCAAGTGGACGACGAACTCTTGGCATTTGGTTTAATGGAGTGTAGAAAATGGAGAAATCGTCAGTATAATCATCAAAATGAGGATCTGTCATGACATCATTGTAATAGTGAACGTATTTGCTGCGTGTATCAAAGAAAATTGATCTGGAATCTTCTTTGTACGATTTGAAGATAACGTCGAGCTGAGTTTCATTGAGCTTGAACTCATCAGTAAGAATCTGACGACTTACACGCTCTTTATTGATGACATCGATGAGAGTAAATATATCCAAATTTGGAAGTGACAATACGCGACCATTAAGACTAGAAAGAGTCTGTCCGTTGTATCTCATACGATATAATTGATCGAGACTGCCAATTGATGAATTAGAAATGTTTGTTTTGAGAATTTCGTTGATGTAAAGCGGATAATTGTTTGTAAAGTCGCGCATACGCTTAACAAGGCTTGTATCATTATGGTTTTCAAGCCAGGATGTGAATTTCTCGGCAAACATATCTTCTTTGAGAAGATCATAGTAAGATTCAGGGATTCCGGTGATATTTTCGGTTGTTTCATCTTTATGGAGGCTGACTTCCTTAGAAGATTCAAGAACGATTGAATCTTTAACACCGTATTCCATGGAATACTTGAACGGACGCATTTCAATACCAAAGCCACGGAGGTTAACACCAAACTTACCTGTCTTAGATGTTGGGCGGAAAGAGAATGGAATATTTTCATCGATAAGTTTGATTACGTATTCAGCGACTTCTTTGTTGTAAATATTGGCATAAACAATTGACTGTGGAATGCCATACTGGAGTTCGAAAGGTTGAACATCAAGATCATCGCTTGGTAAGTAATGACAAAGAATTCCAAATGTATTTAATTTTTCACCAATAATCATTAAGTCATTATAGTTAGAGCCGCCTTTTGTACGAGCCATTTCTCTGTACATTTCACCACGTGGTGTATAGAATCCAATACTAATTTGTGATTTCAAAAATGCGTGATGGAATTTTGGAAGGATTCTAAAGGCCGTTTCCCAAATAAATGTTTCATTGTTAAGTTGATCGTGATTTTTGACGATGTCTCTAAGGAATTGCGTAGCCATTTCAGAAGAGAAATCAGTCATAAAGAATAAAATATGTTCAAAGAGAGGAGTTTCATCCCATGGTGCAACTACACTCATTACAACCTCATGGTCGGGTCTAAATGTACTTGTTGCAAGAGAGAATAAGAGGAACGATAACATATAATTTTTTTAAAAAAAAATTAATCGAACTTTTGACAAATAAAAACCAATGCAAAATTGACACATAATCTGAACAAACGTCTTTTATTTAGCACTTTTTTTGACACTCCCTCCTATCCATTTCCACAGAGTCAACGGCCTAACATGGCCTCTTGATGTCAAGCAGGTCCTAACTTGGGTCGTTACAGCTCTGCCTTTTGTTTTGTTTTGGGTCGTTCAATTTCCTTTATTAGATACAAAAGAAAGTATTTTTTGGGCTATATTGTTTATGATTATATACTTAATCGGAGTCATATTGTTTGTTATAGCTACGTTAACAGTTCATTACTTACCACCTCCTCTTGATTATGACCATTCAAGATACTGCAAATACTGCCAAAAGAGAGTTCCATCAGAAGCAAAGCATTGCAGATTATGCAATACTTGTCGATTAGATTTTGATCATCATTGCCAATTCATTAATAATTGCGTAACACTTCAGAATTACAATCAATTCTTTTATGGGCTAATGTCACTTGTTTTTTCATCAATAATTAACATTATCCACATATCAATTTGCTTAGTTAAATATTTAGATAGTCATAAAGAAATTATGTTGCAAAATTTATCGCAACACATCAGAAAGAATATTACGGATAAAACAGCCAAAGTGTTAATTTCACTTGTATACTTGGCAAATTCAGTTTTAGCGATTCCATTGATAGTTTTGATAATTTATCACATTTATTTTCAAGAAAGAAACATTTCTACATACGAATATTTGTCAAAAACCATACCTGCAAGCAAACAAAAGCTTCAAGCATTCTGCTGCAAGTCACACAAATACCAAATTAAGAGTATTTAATTTTCTTTTATATTTATTCTTAGATTTTGTTGTTTTTATAAATATACTGTCTGTTTTCTTTATTTTTAACATCTCACTTTTATCAATCTAATGGTATAATTTTTCTCCTCATAATCCACTCGTTCTAACTATATGCAGCAATCATGTGGGGTAAGGGAGGAATTCCATTAGTTATATGACCAATGACAATTCGTTTTCACTAATTTCATTTTTTTATGACAAGTGTAATCATATAAATAGATTTTCCAAAACATTGATGATGAACAAGAACTGTGCATTTGATTTTATTTCTTTTCTCAATATAAATAAAGATTTTACCTCCTGGACAGAGTCCTGTAGAGAAAATATGAGGTTCTATTAAAATGTTTTGGCTTTCATAAATTATTACATTTTGACTTGGATTATATAATAGTTCTGTAGTATCAATATATGAATTAGATACAGTAATAGAACCTGATTTTCCTGTAATTGAACCATAATAAGCTCCAAACAAATATTGACCATTTTGTTTGTTATTTGCAATGAAACAGTTTTCTAAAGTAGCATTACAATTTAAACAATGAATCATTGCAGGATAACTATCAGGATTAGAAACAGTGTTATTTATGAAAACGATGCTGTCATATTTTGTTGGTTTGTCATATATCAAACAAATTCTGGTGTCTGCATAGTTTTCATTAATAATTGAATATTTTATTGAAGAAGTCCCTTGTCCATATCCTATTTGAAAAGGTGTATTAATTTTGCCATAATTTCTTGTGATGTTGTTTTGGAAAAATGAATTATTTCCAAAAGATAAAGCAAGTGTAACAGATGAAATTCGATCTCCTCGGTTGCTATATGTTATCGATGAATCATGAACTTCATTGACTTTTGTAGGATCATCTGATAAATAATCATAGCAAAACGATCCAGTGCCTGTCGATTTAGATCCAAAACTGCAAACTTTTCGAATAGAACTTTGACCTTCTTTGATGTAAATAGATCCACCTCTATCATTTCGTGATGAGTTTTCGAAGGTATTTGTAGAAATAAGTGACTTAACATCTGAGGAATTAAGAATAATAACTCCTTCATTCCCAAGGTTGAAAAAATAGACTTCACGAACATAAAAGTCGCCGGTATCAGATGAGTATATTTGGTTTTGAGAATAAACTTCTTTCGTATATTCCGATTTGTAGACTTCTTCCCATTCATTATTAGACAAATGCAGTATATTAGAGGTTTCTGAAATTCTCTGACTGGAATACTACTCATTCGATGAAGAAATTTTTGGAGTGATGAAAAGGTGATCCGAGAGAAAAAAATATGATAATAAAGAATATTAATTCAAGAATTTGCATTGCGGTAATAACATACTTGCTATCATTTTTCTTGGAACTTGATGACATTTCAGGCCAAAAATCTCAATTTCAAGTTAATTGTTTACTTTGTTATGTGAATGAATGTATTCGTACTTTTGCTGAAAGTTTATCACTCTAAGGCTATCATAAAGAGATTTTATTGCATATCTTCATATTTCTTCTTACATTAGATGCTATTTTCGAATCCTTTAATTAGTAAATTAGTAATGTTCTTTGTGTATTCTTATTGTTTGAGCCTAAATCAAATGAAATATTAGTAGTAGGATAGGAAGGGTTGTGTGACTTTTTTTGTTACATCTATATATAGACGATGCATTAAAATATATTTATTTATAAACACATTTTAAAAAATTAACATTAATTTTAAAATAATTTATTTTTTATCTTTTATAAAAGAAGCTATATATAGATGATGTCAGATATTCCGCGATTAATTAAACATTGTTTAAATCCTGAATGAAAGATTCACTACCATAATGAAATAAAAAATAAAAAAATAAACTTTAAAAATTCAATGTCTTACATTTTTGAATAATTTATTTTTATTTTGTATGAAATGAGCGTCAAGACTAACGACGTTAAAAAATTGGGATTCACAAATGAGGAAATAAAGAATATATTAGAGGAGGCGGGTTATGAGGTTGATAAATATTATTTAAGAAATTGTCAAAAATTCGCGGAGTTTTTAAATGAGTTTGATTATGATGGAAAAATGAATAAAGATGATGTTATAAATTTCTTATATCCCACATCTAAAGAAGAAAAACCTAAAGAACCTGATGTTTTCCCTGAATATTATGAAGAACGGATTAAAGATGATGATGAATACGATGAAATTGAAATTGAAAGACTGGAAAAAATAAGAGATGAAATAGATGAAAAAATTAAGGAATTAAGAGAAGTTGAAAATGAAGTAGAGGGTTTAATGAATATCCCAGCTTCAGAATCAGCAGTTCAGAAATCTCATGAAGAAAGATATAAAAATTATGTCTCAGAATCAACACAAAATTTATTAGATGGCGAAATAGATGAAACACTTTCAGAAGAAGGTACTAAATTTATTCGTAAACATAAGTTACAATTTATTGATAATGAAGAATACCCTTGTATCCTACTTTCACCACCTTTAGATTCCGAAAAATTCAAAAAAGCTCTTAAAAACGTGACATATGCAACTAATACGATTAAGAAAGAAGATCATGATATTTACACAAATTATTATTTAAATAAATGCACAGGTGTTGATAAAGTTTTTGATTTATTAGATAAAATATCAAAAGAAACCATTGGAACCTATAAAATTTTGTGTGATTGTGGTTTCATTATTGAAGATACCAATAATGTTTCATATGAAAGAACAGCACCGAAGGAAGACGAAGTGAAAGGTCTATACCATTCGTTATTAAGAACATAAAAGATATGAAAACTTATAAACATTATATTTATTCATTTATTTCAGAAAAAATGGAAGCAACCCATAAAACATCTTCTCATCATTTTATAGCTATTCATACATTCCTTTTCAAAGTTGTGAAATTAAATAAGACAGGAATTAGATTTAATGTATCAGGGTACGCATTCTTAAGTAAATTAAAATGTATTCGTCACGTCGCAGATGATAAAAATTTATGTGTTCTTAATTCATTTTATGGGCTTTAAAAAATAAACTTTATTTTTATTTATTTTTTAATTTTTTTATTCTTACATAAATGAACAAAAACGGAACAGCTAAAATGAATGATAATCAAATTAGAGCAGAAGGTAGAAGGTTATTTAAACGCTTCTATAACATTCCTGATGGTGTTAATCCTAAAACTCGTAGAAGTTATTTAAATGAAGCAATAGATCATATGAAGGGTTTGACATTTCATCAGAAAGTGAGAGATTAGCGAGAATGTTAAATGTTAATATTGATTTCTATTATTGTGATCCTCAACCAGAAGACGTGGACATAAATAAGGTAGACTTTCCATTAGTGGAATCAATAATGATAGATCCAGAATTTGAAACAGTAAATATTTTATTAACACAGAGTCCATGTGGAAAACTTCACGCTGACAGAATAACAGACGTTGAAGCACTCACCGGCTATAGAGTTTGTCCATATTGTAAAGAAGAAGTTTATTCTATCCGTGATGATCCAGAAAGGAAAAACCAAAGAAGATTTTTAAAGCATTGTGAGAAATGTAAAGAAAATAATGGAAGATTAATTCAAGACGTTCAGTTGCAAAAGACACAGCAACCATATGCACCACATATTACGAAACAGAAGATATATCAGTGGTTATTAGCTCACAATTTGCAGAAATATTATAAACCGACAAGATATTATATTACTTTTGACTTTGAAACATTAGAGACTAAAGAAGAATTACAACTTTCTGAGTGTGCAACTTTGAACGCTTACTTAAAACCATTCATGGTATCATCAACGGTTAAATTAAACGATAAAACATATACGAGGAATTTTTGCTTAACTTCGAGTGATTCTTTTATTTCTGATTGGATTGAGTTTTTATTTTCAACCTGTTCATTAGTTGCTAAATCAAATATTGAACAATATGAAGAATTAATGAAGTCGCAAACGGACCAAACGGCGGGGACTTTGTCTCATACATTAAATGAAAAACAGAAGGAAGCATTTAAAGAACTTCTAGATGAGGAATTCAATAAAGTGAATATCATAGGTTTTAATTCGGGAAAGTTTGATTTAAATTTAATTCTTCGTGATTTAAACACCGCAAAATGGAAAATAAAATCAATGCTGGGTTCATCTTCACAATTTAAGCAAATCATTGTAAAGAAAACAAACGTTCCATATGAATTGAGATTTATTGACATCAGAAATTATATAGCGGGTGGGACATTAGACCAATTCACTCAAGATTTCGGAAACAAAAATCACGTGTTAAATCCTTTTTCCCTTATCAATTCATCACGTGGGAAAATTACGAAGAAGAATTATATAAAGTGGAACCATTCACGAAAGATTCATTTTATTCAGCATTAACTCAAGAAACTATATCAGATAGTGATTATCAAATATATCTCAATGATGCTAAAAATTTTAAGAATAGATTAGAATATTTTATTCATTATTGCAATAAAGATGTTGAAATTATGATTGACCCAATCGATAAAATTATTGAAGAAACATTTGTTTATAAAATTGACATGCTTCATAATCTTTCTTTATCATCGAATGCTTCAATGATTCGTTACGCTTTAGCATATAAAGACTTTAATCCTAATGAAAAATATCCTGAGGAAGAGATAGAATCAAGTTTTGAATTAACGAAAAAGTATTGGAAATATAAAATTGAATCATATAAGAAACAAGATGAAAAAGCAGAAAGGGATACTAAAAATAATGTTTCAATGGATGATTTTCAATACTATCACGATTTAATCCTTTCATCTAAATGCAAAATGTGTGGTAAAGCGTTTACATATGCAAATAAACCAACATTGGATAGAATCGATAATGAAAAACCACATACCAAAGAAAATTGTCAGTTAATGTGTTGTTATTGCAATGTCGTAAAATCAAATAAAGATGAAGATGTTCAACGTTTAAGAATCAATTTAAGAAATTATGCATTAAAAAATAATTTACCAATGACTTTAGATTCAGTTGAAGCTTATCACATTCTCCGTAATGGAATTACTGGTGGTTTATCAAATGTTCAACATAGAGTAAATCTTAAAGGAATCACGCACATTAATAAACTTTCATATATCCAGAAACTAAAACTGTATCAAATGAGGACACCACCAACATTATGACTCATTTCGTTGGTGTTGACTTTAATTCATTATATCCTTCATCATTTTCATCTAATCCTCATGATTTCATTCAATATACTGACCATAAAATGTATATGCCGGGAAGATTGAATGGTGTTATCATTTGTGATACAGCAACAAAGAAAGCAAAAGCACTGGGAATAATTAAGAAGAAAAATACTTTATTCGTGGCTGAAGTAAAGGGTCACATTGATGAAAAATACATTAATGATTACATAAACTTTTTACCGATAATAAGAAACTTAGATATTATCACAGATGAAAAAACAATTGGCAGTTTTATGTATAATTACATGAAATCAAACAATCTACCAGTTGACCAGAAACAGAGAAATTAACTCAGTTAGCATCAACACACAACCAATATCAACCATTTTCTTCTTATTATCTTTGGTATCTAATAGACAGATTTCATTTTATCATTGATGACATTCAATCAATTTTAACATTTACGAAAAACACTTGTTTTAATGAATTTGCGAACAAATTTATGAACGAAAGACAAAAGGCTGAATTAGAAGGAAATAAAGGAAAAAGTTTATTTTGCAAGATTTCACTTAATGGATCATATGGTTACGATGCAATGAATACACAAAATTACGCAAAGACTAAAATAATGAATGCACAGAAGGCACGCGTTGCATGTATGTCAAATAAGTTTAAAAACATAAGAGAAATAGGAGAGATACATATCAAGTGATGCTTAAAGATAGATTTTATAGATGTGATACATGTTTACAAGAGGCATTCTTCACTTTAGATAATGCTAAATACTGGTATTTGGTTTTCATTTATGATTTTATGTATAAATGCATGAATGTTAATCGTTTTCATTTCATTGAAGGTGATACTGATTCATCTTATTGGGCAATCGCTGGCGACCCAAATCTTCCTAACACTCAAGCATTTCAAGCAATTGTTACCGATAAACAATTTTATGATAAAAACATTTTCAAATTCGCACCATTTGATTTCTTCTGTTTTGATGAGAAATTTAAACCTAAATTAAAGAATAAAGCTGAAGAAAAAGCACATGAGAAGAAGTTATTGGGTTTAGCAATTGAGAAACAAGGTGATAACATGGTTGCTTTATGTCCTAATGTTATACATCATTCAACGGTTCAATTGATGGAAGTGATTTTAAAAAGATTGCACAAAAAATGAAAGGTGTTAGTTTAAGACAAAATAAGCAATTAACACCTAAAAAATATTTGGATATAATAAATGATAAAGTGATATTTGATGGTCAAATATTAATTTACAACTTAAAAACGGGTCAATGACTCGCTTAACAATCGGTAAGACTGCATTAACAGGAGCACACACTAAGGCTGTATGTTGTGAAAATGGATGTTATATGCCATTTATTTAATACAATTTAAAATTTTATTTTTAATGAAATGCCACAGAAGAGACAAAAGGAACCGTTAATGATGGTTTTGATACTATGATTCAAAGAGGTGGGCACCCTTAAACATTTATTTTATTTTTATATAAATGGATAACACAGATTTAAAAATTTTAATTGATGATTTAGTATTTAATCAAAATTTTCTTAGTTATTACGATTTAAAATCATATCTCCAAAAACATAATAACAATATAACGGGTGATGATATGGAATATTATTATCCATATTATAAAAATGAAATTTTGAAATATCATAATAAAATAATTTCTGAAATTAAAGACAAAATTAAAAATAATGAATATACAAAGGGAAAAACTAAATCACAACTTAAACAGTTGAAAGATTTCAAAAATAAAGTATTAACAGAAGAAGATATTGATGAATTATATAATTTATATAATCCTGAGCCACAAAAACCAAAGCCAAAGGAACAAAAACAAAAGGAACAAAACACCCAGGTTCTTCAGACCATAAATGATGCACAAGCTTTAATTTATGATTCATTAGTTAAACCATATTCAGCCCGACTTTTAAATGAAGATCAACTTTTGGAATTCATCCTTCAACATAAACTCGAAGCGGGAAAGTATATCAAACCTTTATATACAGCATATTTAAAACAAATGAATAGAATACATCCAGAATTAATGAAAGGAGGAATGAATTCCAAAACTTCATCATCCAAAATCAAAGCAGATAAAATTAAACCACTTGCAACACCAAAACCTCCAACGACAGTACCGCCTCCTCCTTCAGTTAATCCTTCATCATTCACTTTATTATATCCATTTCAAACATTAAAGAAGCAAAAAGATTTTAAAAAGGGTTTCAAGATATTAAATAAACCAATTGACCCGAAAATTCAACCGTTAAAGGAAAAATTTAGTCGCCCTTCATTTGCTCCATATCCATATTCATACGAAATAGATCATTTAGAATATTCAAAAGGAAACGTTACTTATTTATTTGCCATTAACATTAACACTAGATATTTATATTGCATTCCGGTGAAAGGGAAAACAGAACAGGAAACAAGAAGAGCTATACAATACTTACTAGATCATGAAAGAGTAGATAATATCAGGGGTGATGGTGATAAAGGATTTCAGGCACTATGGCTCATTATTTCCCACAAATTAATTTTTTCTTTTCATCCTCTCCATATACGTTTCATAATAAAATAGTTGATGCGGTAATGAGAACTCTTAGAGATGCGTTAGGGGTTAACGGTCAGATATACTGGGATGGAAATCATGACTCCATCATACAACAGTTAGTATATTATTACAATAATACATGGCATAGAACTATAAACATGAAACCGGTGGAAATGAAAAATGATATTTCAAAAGAATGGGAATATATTAGAAAGCAAATGGAAAGGTTAAATGATGTTAAACGTGAACAAATTAATTCGGGGCTCATGAATTTTAAACAAGGGGATAAAGTTTTGATTCATCTCGATTATGGAAAAACTGATAAATCAATGACAAAAAGAAGACGAAGATTTGACACAATAGCTGAATTTGTTAGATATATTAACGGCAATGCATTAGTTGAAGTTGACAATAAATTAATAGAAATTCCGATTTATTTTATTACTCCATTATATTTAAATAATATTTAATTTTTTTTAATTCGTAAGAAATGAGTGACAACAAAGCAGTCAAGAGTCCTGACAATGAATATAAAAAGAAACTAAACAGAATTAAATCAAAAATATGCTATTACAAAAAGAAGCCGCAATGTGGTGGGGTTGAAAACGATAAAGAAATAATCGAAAAATTAGAAACTTACCGTTCAATCCTTAAACTGGGTGAAGCAAAAATAAAAGAATTTAATAGAATAAATAAATTGATTGGAAGAGATGAATTTAATAAAGATGAATTTTTAAACTCAATCCAAATTTAATTTTTATTCCTCTTTGACAACATCTCTCTTTCCATCATTACTGCATAACCACATTTTCTCAGTTTTAGTGGTTTGTTATTTTTAGCAAGTTCTCGCATCATTTTTATTATTTCCTCCCTTGTTATGATTCGTGGTAAATTTTGAGCTTGTGGGGTATCCATTTATGATAAAAATAAAAATTTGTTATCAGTTATTTTATCGTAAATGTTTACGTTAATGGTTTCAGGTCATTCAATAATTAATTATTTTTGAAGAACTGAAGGTGTCACTACGTCACCATGTGTCACTCGGTTAATTAACTTCTCTGAAAAAATGAGACAACATGACATTTTGACAACACAGCAGGGGAAGGCACTTATGAATTATTTTTGAAGAACTGAGGGTGCTACCATGTTACCATGTGCTACCAGGTTAATTAACTTCTCTGAAAAAATGAGACAACATGACATTTTGACAACAACACAGGAGGAAGGTATTTATGAATTATTTTTGAAGAACTGAGGGTGCTACCATGTTACCATGTGCTACCAGGTTAATTAACTTCTCTGAAAAAATGAGACAACATGACATTTTGACAACAACACAGGAGGAAGGTATTTATGAATTATTTTTGAAGAACTGAAGGTGCTACCATGTTACCATGTGCTACCAGGTTAATTAACTTCTCTGAAAAAATGAGACAACATGACATTTTGACAACACAGCAGGATTAATGCAAAAATAAATTCAAATCATACTTTATAAAGCTTCATTTACAGGTATTTCATCGTCAGTAAATGAATCCTCATTATCGTTTGGTTCAACCTGTTTATATAATCCTTTCATTTCTTCTTTCAAAACATAACACCATGTTTGTTTATCGTCTATTCTTCTATGTTTCCTATCACATTTATCCTTAATACTCATTTGGAAATTCTTGTCTTTCATGTCTGATGGTTTGCAGAATAGAGCATTTTTACACGTCATACCTGCACACAATTCATCATAATGTGTATTTATCCATACATCTAAAGGATTTGTTGATAATTCAATTAAATCTTGTTTGGCTTCAGTCATCGGAATGATTCGTACATTAAATGATGAAAGGTCATATTGCATAAAATACGTCAGTAAATTATCATAAAATTCCTTTGTGCATGAATCCATTAAATTCTTGAAGTAATCAAATTGACCCTTAAATTTACCATTAACTCTTAAAACTACGTATCTTCTGTCTCCAACTTCAATTTTGACAGGGTAGACGTTATTAGTTACGAAAATGAAGTTTGCAACATTCTGAGCAGTTCTTCTGGGTTGATTCTTTTCATTAATTCTAATCTCATTATCCGTAATAATTGATTTCAAAGCGTTGAAGTTTGCAAGTCTGTCTTCACCTACATTCTTGAGTTCATTAAGTACAAGAAACATTTTATTCTCAACAACTGAATTGAAATTACCCGTTAGCTCACCTATTTCAGTAATGTTTTTACATGAATAACCAGCGAGGAGTTCAGAAATAATGTCTGTAAATCTGTTTTTACCTGTTCCCTGAAGTCCTTTCAAAATAATTGCTGTTTCATTCTTGATTCCTGGATGTTGAATCATTGATGCAATCCAGCCGAGAAGGTATTTATACACTTCATCGTTATTATCACAAATGGCTTCTTTAATGAAATTCATAAACATCTCAATTTTTGAGTAATCTGGTTTTTCGAGAACGTTGTATTTATAACCCTGAAACGTTGAGAAAACATCTGGGGAATCAGATTTGAAGCAAACACCCTTAACGGTTAATGAGGATAATTGATTTAGTAGTACGTCCCATGCTGTTATTGTTTTACCTTCTTCTTTAAATAATTTAATCATTTTGAGTGACTCTTTCATGTTTGATTGAAGAACGAATGATATTTGATTCATTTTGTCGTGTATGTTGTAATCTTTCTGAATGAAGTATTTGTTTCCACAATCTACAAAACGGATGATACGTGATAAATCCTCAATTACTTCAGAACTGTTTTTATACTGATGATTTTCAGCCCTGCGTCTAATATCTGTTATCAAAAACGAGTCATCAAGTTTGATATCAAATGTTATTTTTGGCTTATGTAATAAAGGTAAAACATATTCATCATAATATTCCTTTTGGTATAGTTTTAGAATCTTCACTAAAACAAATGGAGAAGTCATTAAATGTGCATATCTACTACGTGCTTTTTCAAAATTACTTTTTGCATTTTCAGTTAAATTGCAGAAGTTATAAACGTTATCGTATGCTTCATTAATTAAATGATCCGGTAACGAATTAATTGCTTGAAACAGTGTGAATAATGTTATTTCTTTTTCTAAATTCATGTTTCCACCGTCATTATGTACTTCAAAATCACTGATGCCATCAACTATGCTCTGGGCAAGTTTATCGTCAATGTTTACATCTTTGTTTTCATTCATGATAGTCTTTATTTCTTCATTCATCTGTTCAACTCTTACCTTAATATTCAAATCATTTAATATATCATTCACTGTTCTGGTTAATGTTGAATCATAACTTCCGCGAATGAATGAGTATGTATTGATTGGTTCTGATGCATTCTTGCGAACTCTTGAATCAGCCATAACCACTAAAGAACGCTTTGAATCATCCATAGAAGTCATGATATCGATATCATAATCATTGCAGGAATAACATTTAATCATTCTGTTCGAAACTGCATAGAAGAAATTAGTGTTACAATAAATGTGAAGACCTCCTGAAGCGGTTTTAACGATAACATCTTTATCCGAAAGTTTTGATAAAATGTCTTTTCTAACTGTTTCTTTAAGTTCATCATTGTACGATTTATTGATATCAACATCTATAATCGTTAAATTTGAAATTTTATTTACTAATAAAGCCATACCAGTTTTCCTTCCTCTTCCTCCATCATGTTTGAGGTAGTTATGTAAATCAATCTTGTTTTCACCAATTCTTTCGTTGAGGGTTTTAGTTTCTGCCACAACTAATTCCTCAGCTAATGAATCAATAACTTGTTCATCAGAAATGATAAAGTTACTGTTGTTGTTTGTTGCTGTCATTTATATAGGAATAAAAAAATAAAAATAATTTTAAAACTAACTTTATTTTTGGACTGCATCAAATTTCCTGCTGTGTTGTCAAAATGTCATGTTGTCTCATTTTTTCAGAGAAGTTAATTAACCTGGTAGCACATGGTAACATGGTAGCACCCTCAGTTCTTCAAAAATAATTCATAAGTGCCTTCCCCTGCTGTGTTGTCAAAATGTCATGTTGTCTCATTTTTTCAGAGAAGTTAATTAACCGAGTGACACATGGTGACGTAGTGACACCTTCAGTTCTTCAAAAATAATTAATTATTGAATAACCTAAAACCATGAGACTTTGTCTCCGGACTCTTTGAGTCACTTAACGTAAACATTATTTTTGGGTCATTCACACTCATTACCTAATTAATTACAGACATAAAATATATTTAGTTCATTCGGTAAGCCTAAACCCTTTGGGTCAAGTCTCAAGCACATTCAATGAACTCTATACCATGCGAATACAGTCACAAATGGTGGCATGTAATCTTTACCCGAGCCTGTTGGATTTGTTGTGAAAGTGTGTGAATGATTTCCTGCGGTTCCACAGAAAATACCTGTGCTTGAATCTACTGGGTCAGTTGTGATATCATATCTATTCATTCCCCATCTATCCGAACCCGCTGCAAGATTTATATAACCTCTTTTTGTTATTGAATGTGAATGATTTCCTGTTGTGTTTGTCGTTCCTGTATGAGTGTGTGGTGGAAGGTTTGCTTCTTTAATTTTCTTCGAACCTCCTGTTTGCTTTGAATATCTAGCACAGTATAAGAATTTATCTACAATCTGCTTCCACATACCAAAACCTAAAACACTTGCTGGATTTGTTGAGTTCATTGACGTATAAATAGAACCAACAGGATATAATGTTTGAAGTATTTCATTTTTCATGCTTGTAATCACATCATTTACTTCCGACTTCTTTGCATAATTTTCATCAACATATGTTTTATCTGCTTTAAGGTCTAAACATCCTGAAACCCATTCTGTATCAGCTTTAACTTTAAAAGTCTCAAATGTCCATTCATGATACCATTCAACCTTTTCTTTAATTTCATTATCTTTTTCATCAACATAAACCAAATTTGCCTTCTTATTTAACTCACTATCCACATATTCCTTATCCACCTTCTTCATTATGTCATTTAGGAAACCTTCTATGAATTCCTCATTTAAATTAAATCTTCCAATCTTCAAAACTTTAGGAAATGCATTTAATGCGTAATATCTCTGTTCTTCTGGTGGAATTGATGTTATATCATCCGTTATACCTTTAATTTTAGAATTCATAAATAAAATTTCTTTTATATTTGATATCACTGCACCACCTTTGCAAACGAATTCGAAATGTTCATTTTTCAATACTATCTCCAAATCTCCATATTTCAACCTTTGCGTTTGTTCTGCCGTCTTTGAATTATATGCATATATGGCGTATGTAATGGTCTGAGGGACCTGGGTGTTTTGTGCCTTAAGTTGTTGTGGTTGCTGTTGTTTAATCATTTATTATGATTTAAAAATAAATATTTAATCTGTTATCTCATCACCTATTTTTTCTATTTGAAATTGCCATAATATTTCATTCATAAATTCTAAATCACAATCAAATAGGTCAGTTATTCTAAATTTAATATTTGACAAATCTTTTGAATGAAGAATAAATGAATTCCCGGATAATTGAAACGGATATGATAAAGAAAATGTGTTTAAGTTGATGGATAAAATGTTTTGTATTGATGGGTAAGAGTTAGGGTCTAATGTTTAATGTGAAAATCTCATTGGGGTATTAACTTTATCACATTTGATTAAAATGAAATTGGAACCAGTGTCAGAATACAAAACATCCCCAACATCTTTTTCAAAATTTAATATCCCCAACAATGAACGAAGATGAGGAGTACAAAATTTAATTTTCAGCGGGAATTTAATAAGGTTATTTATTTCATCAAGTTCAAAAAGTTTATCGGGTTTTGATTTAAAATTTTCTTCATACCATACGATAAATGATTCATTTAAATAACTTAAAATCATGTTAATATCCCATTTCGCTATCACATTATTTATATACATATCATACGTTTTTTCAAGGTCATCTTTAATAAATGATATATAATCTGAAGGGTCTAAAAGAATGGGATTAAATTTACCACTCACAGAAACGAGAGTAACATTATAAATTCCGCTAACTGTTAAATTTAATTCACAGTTATTATTCGAAATAATATTGATAATTGACATTTTTATTACGATTAAAAATATGGTAAAGCGTTATTTTCCAGTGATAAATAAAACTAGAATAAGATTACCTCAAGAATTCATAAATTCAACGAATAAGAAATTCATTCATGTTATAAATTTTAGTGTTTTCAGAAAATATGAGTCAATGTCATATTCATCAACAGGTTATATTTCACTTCATTCAAATTTAGTTCAATCAAACCCATATAATGACCATTTCATAAGATTTTTAGATGGTATTAAAAATGTAATTGATAGATTAAAATATGAACAGATTGACAATATCGAATTTTTGGAATTTTGGTTTAAATATCCCGATGGAAAAAAGATTGAAGTTAAAGATAAAGCTGATACTATAACAAAAACAATTACAATGACCGATCCGGATAGTGGGGAACAAAAAGAAATAAAACAAACGATAGAAACTGGTGAAAGGTCAATTAATTGATTGTGATTCAAAGGATTATTATTCGATAATGTTAATGCTTGAATATTAAATAGCCTTAACAAAGAATTTTTCAAGTGATATTTTATATTCATCAACTATTTTATTATAAATATCATTATATGTTAATGAAGTTCAGTTGTTGTTCCGTTCTTTGATATCTTAATTGTGCTAATATCCTTTATAGGATTTATTTTTGCAACTGTTCCACAGCATGAAACCTCATCATCTATGAAAAATTGAATCTTAACGTCTGAATCTTGAACATCACAAAGAATGGCGATAATGTGAATTAATG